AAGAAAGAAAGAAAGAAAGAAAGGAAAGAAAGAAAGAAAGAAAGAAAGAAAGAAAGAAAGAAAGAAAGAAAGAAAGAAAGAAAGAAAGAAAGAAAGAAATGTAGGTAAATTGGCCTCTCCCAAAACAAAGTATCTTTGCTGCTCAAAATCTTAACATAACTAACAATACTGGCCAGGTGCTATTGAAGCCCTTTCCATGTATCAATTAATTCCCCCATCAATCCTATGCGGTAGGCACTATTACCATCCCATTTTGAGTAAACTGAAATCCAGCAAAGAGAGGAATTGGTTCAAACCAAGACAGTCTGGCCACTGAATCCACATTCGTAAATGCTAGGTGTTATTCTGTTCTTCCAATGACTGATTCAAGGTGTATAGTCTTAGACTAATAAAATGAGGTAAAAGTATCACTGTAGGACTAACCAGTCATCATTGTGTCCTTCATTCTGGTTCTGTCCTTTTCAATTAAAATCCAGAGCAGTAAAATCTTTTACTATGGTTGAACTGTCCAGCTTACTAAGAATGTAGATATATATCTTAATTTATATGTGCTATTTGCTTGCCATCTTACTGCTTTCCTATAGAATCTGTTCCTCATGTTCTACTCTTTTGTAAATACCATCGTTCTATTGCCCACACAAGGGGTCATGTTAGTCACTTTATTTTATTTTATTTTATTTTAAACATTTTATTTATTTGAGAGAGAGAGAGAATGAGAGATAGAAAGCACAAGAGGGAAGAGGGTCAGAGGGAGAAGCAGACTCCCTGCTGAGCAGGGAGCCCGATGCGGGACTCGATCCCGGGACTCCAGGATCATGACCTGAGCCGAAGGCAGTCGCTTAACCAACTGAGCCACCCAGGCACCCGATAGTCACTTTATTTTAAAGTGGCAGAAAAAAACCACCAGTTGGGTGTTTTTTTTACAATTTTAATATGAATATTCAATGAGATTTTTTAAAAAGCATAACAATTCAATGAGATTTTTTAAAATATTCAATGAGATTTTTTAAAAAGTATGACAAAATAAATGTCTAATTATTTTGTCAAAATAAATAAATCAAGAGTAAATACATTATAAAACAAAATCAATAAGGAAAACCAATATGGACTAATCAGATATTAATTAATATTTATCAAAGCAGGATAGAAAGTATAAAAATGAATACAGAAACTAGAACATTCTAAGGAGCTCAGAAATAGACACAGCTATTGACATGATGTAAGTAATTTCTCAAAATTATAGAACAGGAAAATATTAACTGAATAGTATTCTGATAACTTAATTAAAAACTGGGAAGATGAACCAAAACCAAACAATGCACAATACACTCATATTAACTCCAGATGGATTGATACATTCATTATTTTTTAAAAACAGGCAAACTATTAGGAAATAAGATTGGAACTCTTATCACCCGGTAGCAGCTTGATGATGCCAGGCTTGCCAATTTCATGCTTACTCCCCATCTTCTGTTTACATTTGGTTCCCCAGGCGAACATGGATTCGAGAAGGGAATGAGCTGCTTGTTCCCTTAATAAGTGTGACTGCCAGGCACTGTGCTAGGCACTAGTTTGAAAAATATGATGAGGCAAAAAACAAATATTAACGGTATTTTTCGTTTGCCAGGTGACAGAGACAAACATAATCTCCTCTTCAATGAATGCAGCGGTGCTTCATTTTATTCATTTTACACGCACTCTGGCCAGCTGGGATTACAGCTGAGGAATGAATCTGCTCTACTTCAGCAGCAACCCCCCCCCACGCCCCCTGGCTCCTTACAGTCTGCAGCCCCAGCCCAGGGTGAGGGGGATGGCCACGAAACCTATCTGGTTTTCTTTCAATACAACCTAACATTAAATATCAACTAGCTGCCAACCTAAGTTCTTTGTAATGTGAAACTTGCTGGCAGCACCAGTACTTCACATGCACCAAACAATGCAAGCGGCATGATTTTATTAAAGCATCCCTCAAGCACAGTATTCCTTCCGGTTACTGATTGAAAGATCTCCCTCTGCACAGTACTTGCACTAAGCAGTATGCATTAGTTAACGTCACCGGAAATGAAATGTACCCAGTCCCAAATCTTCACTGAACAGCACGGGTGTATGACTATGTGTGAGTAATGGACAGAGATATTGGCTAGACACCTGGATTTGAAACCTCGCTCCAACATTTTCTTGCTGTGCAACCTTAAGCCAGTTACTTAATCACTCTGTGCCTCAGTTTTCTCATCTGCAAAATGAGGATCATAATACTACCTACCTCAAAAATTTCTTATGAGAATGAGGTAACAGAGTAAAGCACTAATAACAGTGTCTGTCACACAAGAAATACTGTGTAATATTTCCCAATATTTTTACTACTATCATTTTGTTCAAAATATAGCTTTAAAGTCAATGTAGTTTTCTAAGTCAAGGTAACTATGATGTAAATGTTGTGTTCTAAGTGAAAGAGAATATGGTGCCGTGAATCTGGGTTCAACACACAACTCCCTTTCCTTAAATCAGAAAAAATATAGCAATTTCCAGAACTACTGGAAATCCGCGCATCTCTTTCAGCCCAACATCTGCTCCATGGCTAGCCAGGCAGGGACAAAGCAGGTGGGAGACAGGGGGAGGATACTTCCTGCCATGGACATTTTCATATTGCCGAGGCTCCTGCAGACCCAGGTGGGTCCTGCAGACCCGGACTCCTGCCATCCCTCAGCAAGCAAGCAAACAGATGGGTGATGCCTGTCTACACTCTCCCTGTGTCGCCCCCAAGCTACTCTGTAAGGCCTGTGTTCCATCTCCATGACTTTTACACATCTGCGTTAGATTTTACTTGTGTAGAAGATGTTGAGAGAGCACAGGTCATGAGCACACCATCTTATATCCCTTTGAAGGCGCATATCTCTGTGGATGTGTCCTCACACATGTGCTTAATGTAGAATTTCCGAATTCTTAAAGTAGCTGAAATTTTATGACCCCAACACGTTTTGCTCATGAAATTGTTCCTTCTTTAGAAAAAAAGGAAATCTGTATTTTCTAAGCTTATATATGATTAGAAGAAGAACTGAAAGGCTAGACACCAAAATGGTTTAGGATTTCTGATAATTTTAATGGTCTTTTTTTGCTTCATTTGTAGGCTCAAAAATTTCTAATCAGCATGTATTACTTCAGTAGAGTGTTTTTGTATATTCATAATATTGTACCACCCATCCCCTAGTCCAGAACATTTCCATCACCCCTCCAGAACTCTTGTACCATTAGCAGCCACTCCCAATTCCCTTCTCTCCCTAACCCCTGCAACCACTGATCTACTTTCTGTCTTTATGGATTTGCCTACTAGGAACATTTTGTGTCAACAGAATCATACAACATTTAGCCTCTCGCGTCTGGCTTCTTTCAGTTGGTATAATGTTTCTAAGAGTCATCCATGTGGTAGCATGAATGGGTACATCATTCCTTTTTGCAGCTGAATAATTTCATGATATGGATATAACACATTTGTTTATCCATTCATCGGTTCGTGGACATTTGGGTGGCTTCCACTTTTTGACTACTGGAAATAATTTTGCTCTAACACCCATGTTCACACTTTCATGTGAACATATGTCTTCACTTTTCTTGGGTATAGACCAAGAGTGGGATTGCAGGGTTTTATGGTAACTCTGGGTTTAACTTTTTGAGGAACTGCCAAAGTTTTCCACTGTGGCTGCACCATTTTACATTCTCATCGGCAAAATATCTGTGTTCCAATTTCTCCATATCCTCACCAACCCTTATTTTCATTAATTTTTTCATTATAGACTAGTGAGTGTGAAGTAGTATCTCATTGTGATTTTGATTTGCTTTTCCCAAGTGATATGATGCTGAACATCTTTTCATGTGCTTACTGGCCATTTGTAGATCTTCTTGGAAGTAACGTCAATTCAAATCCTCTGCTCATTTTTTAATGGGTTATTGTCTTTTTATTGTTGAGTTAAAAGAGTTCTTTCTATATTCTGGACTCTGGACACTTTTCAGATATATGATTTGCAAATATTTTCTCCTTTTCTCTGTGTTGACTTTTCACTTTGTTAATCAATGTGTGGGCTTCATCAAAATTTTAATTTTGATGAAGCCCACACATTGCTTTTTATACATCTAGATTTTGTTCCCTTACACAAGTCAAGCCCAACATAGCACCAAGAAAAAAAATCTGCATACAATGCACTGTAAAAGAACTTGTTTACTTTGGGTA